TGCACTACCATGCCTGGCTAATTTTTTCTATATATATTAGTTGGCCAATCAATTTCTTTCTATTTATAGTAGAGATGGGGTCTCACTCTTGCTCAGGCTGGTTTTGAACTCCTGAACTCGAGCAATCCGCCCGCCTTGGGCTCCCAGAGTGCTAGGATTACAGGCGTGAGCCACCGCGCCCAGTCGGATAATGGTTCATTTTTAAACAGTTTCTGCCGTTTGCCACTATCTGAACGCTAGCAGTTTCTCCCCAATAACAGATAAGCATTTTCTCTGCTCTCTATCTTTCAAACCTTGATCTCGTTTTCTGGGCACCCACCTTTTTCGACAATGACCTTACTTATGGACTGATTCCCAGGTAATTGGGATTTTTCTATTTAAGAGACCTAAAATCCCAAAAGGTAATAAAAGGCTAAACTTTATGTCTGGACACAAAAAAACAGGTAACACAGACATTAGCATCAGTGAAACATTTAAGCCACTCCTTAACTTACATAGTTTTATTCATAGACAGCTATTCATAAAGTTATAATTTTAAATTATGTAAATATATAATATTTTCTATGAGCCAAACTGCACCTATATCATACAAAAGAATTAAATATCTCAATATGCCACAAAATTGTGCAAACAGCACTATGACTGATGGAGACATCAGTGGTGATATGGCTGACCATCACTACTGATCCCACTTCCAGAGACATGTGCAACAGGAGGGCTAGAGCAGCTAAAGCACCAGTCAATAATACTAGGTAACTAAGCACTTGTATCATTCATTCCCATCCTCAAAAACTATTAATTACGTACTTCACCACTTTTATGCTGTAGGTCAATAAGAAAAAGAGAAGAGGGAAGGGTTTTGGGGGGAGGGGGGGAAATGGGCATTTATTGAAACCTTAAAATCTGTACCCCCATAATATGCCAAAATAAAAAAAAAACTAAAAAATAAAAAAAAATTTAAAAAAAAGAGGGGAGGGGAGGGAAGGGAGGGGAGGGAGGGAGGGGAGGGAGGAGGAGGGGAGGGGAGAAGGAAGGAAGGAAGGAAGGAAGGAAGGAAGGAAGGAAGGAAGGAAGGAAGGAAGGAAGGAAGGAAGGAAGGAAATGAAATTCTATTAATTACAAAAATAAAAACAATGTCAGCTTTTACCAAGCCTGGAAGAGAAACATTATATAGGATTCCTTCTTCTTTACTCTCCTTCTGTGGTCAAGTTCCTGAACCATTTAAAACATGGACACCACCAAGTCCATTTATGTATGGCCAAGGCACCAAAAGAGCCACGATCTTTGCTGCCTAGCCCCAAGGGGAAAAAAAGAAGGGTGTTAACATGCTCCTCAGAGAAGTCTAGGAAAAGAAAAAAATTAATCTGTCCTCTACTACCATCTAAATTTTTGTTGACTATTTTCCTCTTTGCCCTATTTTTTTAATCCTTTCCTTCTGTTTTAACTTTCTTCGATCTCTTTTTATTCCCTCATCTCTGTTCTAAGTTCTTTTTGCTCTTCTCTTCTTGGTCTTGAAAGCCAGAATAATGCCCTTGCACAACAACAGAAAAGGATGTATAGCAAGGACTAGGAAATCTAGCTCACACCAAAAGCAGCAGCTACTGTCACCAAGAATCAACAAAATCCCCAAGTATCTAAGATATGATTCAATACCTACAGTGGATGAAATACTGTGACTGTAATGATGGAGAACATAAGGTACAGTTACTGCCTTCCAGTAAATATGCTCTAGGGGCTCTCAAGGAGAATTGCTCAGGGAAAGGACAAGCTAGACTCTCAAGGAGCCCTGTGGGCACCTAGAAGGTGAGGAGGTGAAGAAAGACTTTCCAGGAAACTGGCCATATGTCAGCCTAATAAGAAAGAGATGGGCACAGTGGCTAGCACCTATAATCCCAGCTACTTGGGACGCTGAGACAGGAGGACTGCTTGAGGCCAGGAGTTCGAGACCAGCCTAGGCAATATGACGAGACCACTGTCTCTAAAAAATGAAAAAAAAAAAAAAAAAAATTGAAAAACCAAACCAAACAAAACACACAAACAAACAAAACAGAAAAAAAGTGAAAAAAATCAGCCAGGCGTGGTGATGGCAAGTACCTGTAGTCCCAGCTACTTGGAGGGAAGGAGCTACGATGAGGATCATTCCAGCCCAGGAGTTTGAAGCTGCAGTGAACTATAATAATGCCACTGCACTCCAGCTTGGGCAACAGAGTGAGCCCTGTTCTCTTAAAAAGGAAGAAAGTGATAAATATTGTTATGCATATTTTACCAAAATTAAAAAAAAAAGGAAAAATGGGTGCTTGAGCCCCTCCGCTGTCTCTAGCCAGGCAAAAAAGCAAGCACAGAGGTCTTGATAAACTGAGGATTATTGTGCATAGACAAGAACATCCTAATGACCTTGGTCAACTGATACTGTCCAGTGTATATCCACATACCAGACAATTTCTTTTCTAATTTTAAACAACAACATTGTATATAATCTGACAGTATGATAAAGAAAAAGAAACTAGTTGACCATCAAAGGAGAGAAATGCATAGTGAGAAGGAAGAAAACTAATGACTCTTTTCTACCAGAGAAATACTCTCTGGAGGCAGAAGCTTTGCTACAGCTATGGTGCAGAAATCCTAAACCCAGAGGATTCATGGGTCCCCATTCTTCAGAGTTTTCTGCTGAGCACAAAAGACGAAGTCTACAATCACTTCCAGGAATAAGTAAAAAAAGCAAAAACCCCAAAACTTGAGCTTTTAGCTTCCAACCAGGTGCTAATAAACCAATTGCTAACACTCAGGTATCTAAAACCAAAGTATTAGCCTCTGCTGACCATGTGGGGGGAAAAATACCTAAACTAGTAGACAAAGCAACTTTAATAGAAATCATAAATAACATACATTTCAGGTACACACCTAGGAAAAAAAAATCATACATGACAGACCTTAGTTATTTCCATTTAAATACTGACAAGAAAATTTATTCAATTGAGGCCAGGCGTGGTGACTCACAACTGTAATCCTAGCACTCTGGGAGGCTGAGGTGGGAGGATTGTTTGAGCTCAGGAGTTAAGACCTGCCTGAGCAAAAGCGAGACCCCCATCTCTACTAAAAATAGAAAAAATTAGCCGTGTGCAGTGGGGTGTACCTGTAGTCCCAGCTACTTGGAAGGCTGAGGCAAGAGGATCACTTGAGGCCTGCAGAAGTTTGAGGTTGCTGTGAGCTAGGCTGACACCACAGCACTCTAGCCCGGTCAACAGAGCTAAACTCTGTCTCAAAAAAAAAAAAAAAAAAAAGAAAAGAAAAATTAGCCAGATGTTGTGGCGTGCCTGTAGTCCCAGCTACTCGAGAGGCTGAGGCAAGAGGATCACTTGAGCCCAGGAGTTTGAGGTTGCAGTGAGCTATGATGACATCAGTGCACTCTACCTGGGGTGACAGACCAAACCTCTGTCTAAAAAAAAAAATTTATTTGATTGAAATCATGCCAATGTGTCCTTTTAACCTTCATTTTGATCACACAAGGAAACCCATGTAACAGTTCATTGAAGGAAGATCAGCAGTAACAGTAAAGTAAGAGAAATGTTTCCACTTTCACATAATGGCCAATGTTAGAGAAGGAAACATGCTGGGATACTGTCTGACCATAAAAATATAAACAGTGAGGAAAATAATTGGTCTGAAGTACAAGACATTCAAAGGTATGCTTTAGTTTAAGTGTCAAAAAATAAGATCCTAGGCTGGGTACGGTGACTCATGCCTATAATCCTGGCACTTTGGGAGGCTGAGACGGGAGGATCACATGAGCCTAGGAGTTTGAGAGCAGCCTAGGCAACATAGTGAGACCCTATCTCTACAAAAAAATAACATTAAAAAATTAGCCATGTGTGAGGCAGGAGGACTGCTTGAGCCCAGGAGTTTGAGGCTGCAGTGAGCTATGATAACATCACTGCACTACAGCCTGGGTGACAGAACAAGACCCTATCTCTTTAAAAAAAGAGAGAGAGGCCAGGGCGCGGTAGCTCACAGCTGTAATCCTAGCACTCTGGGAGGCCAAGGCGGGTGGATCACTCGAGGTCAGGAGTTCGAAACCAGGCTGAGCAAGAGCGAGACCTGTCTCTACTATAAATAGAAAGAAATTGATTGGCCAACTAACATATAGAGAAAAAATTAGCCGGGCATGGCGGCGCATGCCTGTATTCCCAGCTACTCAGGAGGCTGAGGCAGTAGGATTGCTTGAGCACAGGAGTATGAGGTTGCTGAGAGCTAGGCTGACACCATGGCACTCACTCTAGCTTGGGCAACAAAGTGAGACTCTGTCTCAAAAACAAAAACAAAAAAAAAAAAAAAAGAGAGAGAGAGAGAGAGATTCTTGCAGAAATAATCAACTTTTTCATTCTTTAAAATTTTTCATGCTATCATTATACTAAACATTTATGTTTCCAAAATTTTTTTCATAAGTTACTAACACCCTCAAATCCATGAAATTCAAGCCATGAGAACTTCATTTATTCTTCGAGTTATTACTAAAATCTCTTTCAACATTAGGCATTAGCCATCAATATATGAAGCACAGGAGTTCATTAGCTCTAATGCACTGATTATTCAGGGCAAACCAGGGGAATCTGGATACTCTCAAGAAATTTATCAGGCACTCAAACACAGTTGTGTACAATATGTGATTCTGATGCTTATTGTATCTACTTCATCAAATTTCTTACTCACTTTCTGAAACAGTGCAAAGCTGTACAATGCTACTACTACGTACTTCTGGTTTGTCTTTCTTGAATCCACCCCACTTCTCCTTTATAATTCTTAGTAACTTGGGAATCTGAGGACTTTATATATATACATATTGGAAAACAAAGTAAATGTAATAAAATGTTCAAATGATGTAATATACACTTAAATATGGCTTCAAGGTACAAGATCATTCAGTCTGGAGAAGACAATAATTAATAACAGCTCATCCTTAGATTTAACTGGGGGATTACAATGGCATTTACAATACTGCTCACCTTTAGGACAGAGGCTAAGCTGGTCATGTGCTCGTTGAGGGCACTCTCGGACTCCTTGTAAGTCAAGCAGGTGAACTGGTACTCCTCGGGATCAAAGGCATCCGCCCCTTGCTGCTCCACATCGCTGGCTACTCCCACATAATAGTCCTCTATGTCCCCAGGGTCCTCGTCCTCTTCCTCCTCCTCTTCCTCACAATTTGGGTCATAGTCCTCTTCATTGCTGTCAGACCCCTGGCTATTCATGTCCACGGACATCTTAGCATCCAGCCAAGTTGCAGATCAGGAAAGCAGTTGCTTTTTCCCCCTCCCCCCAAACTTTACCGCTTTCTCAAATGCATTAGTATTTTTGTCTTCTAAAGAAGGAAAAAAAAAAGTGTTACTTTTTCCCCCATGAGAAATTGTAACAGAAACTATTCAATAATCAAAATAGCACAGGCCTGGCCCTACCCTCACTATGACCTATTCCAACTCTGTTCTTATACTGGGAATCTCAACACTATTGCCATGGCCCAGGTTTATCAAAGAGAAACACTTCCCTGGAGAGGCAGAAGCAGCTGATGATGGCAACTTCACATTAAGTGTCTAGAAGGAAAGGGCAAGGCCAGTTGCTCCATGTCAGGGAGTAAAATTCCAATGGATTTGTCCTTCCTGCCAGAGTCCTTAAGCCAGAAGCACATCCCCACAGCCAGCTGCTCATTGGGGAGGCAACCTAGAGCTTTAACTGTCAAAGTTTAAAATTTTACTAATCATGCCTCCTAGTGACACAGACAACAGATAAATAGGAACACAGCTCCTTCCCTCCATAATATGTAGGAAAAAAAAAACACACTGTTTTACAGACATCACTCTTAGATGTCAGGAAAGTAAGTGCATAGTTAGTAAAAAAAAAATAAAAAAATAAAAACCACATAGCCCTTCAACATACTCCTCTGGTCTGCAAAGTTAACTGATTTTGCAGTTTTTTTGTTTTTTTATCTTTCCAACCTGTATTTGTATGATTTATCTTGGGGTCATAAATACATTTGTATCTACTTAACTAAATTCTTAGTCTGGGATCTTTATTCCAGTTTATTGCAACACATTTTGTATTCTAGTTGTTTTTTTTTTTTAGCGTTATTTACTTATTTATTTTATTTTGGCATATTATGGGGGTACAGATTTTAAGGTTTCAATAAATGCCCTTTCTCCCCCTCCCCCCACAACTCTGAGTCTCCAGCATGACCATCCCCAGATGGTGCACTCACTCATCTTATGTATGTATATACTCACCCCTCCCCCCTCCACCTGCCCGTACCCTATTACTGTAGTACCTATGTGTCCACTTAGGTGCTGCTCAGTTAATACCAGTTTGCTGGTGAGTATATGTGGTGTTTGTTTTTCCATTCTTGGGATACTTCACTTAGTAGTATGGGTTCCAGCTCTAACAGGAAATATAAGATGTGCTATATCACCGTTGTTTCTTAGAGCTGAATATGATTTTGCAGTTTTAAAGAATTCTACTGGGCTGGGCACGGTGGCTCAATGCCTATAATCCTAGCACTCTGGGAGGCAGAGGCAAGTGGATTGTTTGAGCTCAGGAGTTCGAGATCAGCCTGAGCAAGAGTGAGACCCCATCTCTACTAAATATAGAAAGAAATTAGCTGGACAACTAAAAATACACATAGAAAAAATTAGCCGGGCATGGTGGCACATGCTGTAGTCCTAGCTACTCAGGAGGCTGAGGCAGTAGGATCACTTGAGCCCAGGAGGTGGAGGTTGCTGTGAGCTAGGCTGATGCCACTGCACTCTAGCCTGGGCAACAAAGTGAGACTCTGTCTCAAAAAAAACAAAACAAACAAAAAAAAACCAAGAATTCTACTAAACCTTTAAAAAGGGTACTTAGAGGCAAAGAAACCAACCCAAGAATGAAGGAAAACTACAGACCAGAATCTACTTACGGTGAAGAAACAAGAATTTAAATTGATCTAAAGACATGGACACAGCCTGATGCAAAAAAAAAAAAAAAGAAAAAAAAGAAAGAAAATAAATGTTAAATATTAAAATTTAAAAAATTAAAGTGAAAAAATATTTATATAAAAGAAAAAAGATGAAAAAAAATAAAAAAACACAATTGAATCAGCTATTAAAAAATCCTTACAGAGCCAAATATTAGTTACATATACATGAAAAGAGAACAACATTAGCTGAAAAAAACAAAAGTCACAAATTACAATTTCAGCTCAAAAAAGATTTGGCAAATACCCATTAACTTTTATACACAAGTACTATAATAAAGTGATGATTTTCAAGGAATAGTATCAATTAGCAATTTAAATCTAAAAATTAATAGGTCCTTAAAATGCAAGAGCATTTGGATTCAACAGTATATAAACAATTTACATAAACATCTGGATTAAATACAAAAGTAAATATAAAGTATATATTAAAAAATCTCTCTAAAAACAAAGAAAAAAACATATTCTAAATCAAAGAATGAATGTGTACTAGCCAGGCATAGTGGTGTGCACCTATAATCCCCACTACTGCGAAGGCTGATAGAGGAGGATCCCTTGAGGCCAGAAGTTTAAGACCAGCCTGGGCAACATAGTGACACCCCATCTCAATAAAAAACAAAAAAAAAGAAAAAGAATGAAGGAAGGAAGGAATGTGTACTGAATATGTAACCAGTCTAAAGGACTAGAGTCACTTTTTGGCCAGGTATGGTAGCATATGCCTGTAATCCCAGCACTTTGGGAGGCCGAGGCAGGAGGATCACTTAGGCCAGGAGTCAGACACAAGCCTAAGCGACATAGCAAGATCCACTTCCACAAAAAAACCAACCAACCAAAAAACTTTAAAAATTAGCCAAGCCTGGGCCAGATGTAGTGGCTTACACCTGTAATCCTAGCACTCTAGGAGGACAAGGGGGTAGGATTGCTTGAGCTCAGGAGTTTAAGACCATCCTAGCAAGAGCAAGACTCCCATCTCTACTAAAAAATAGAAAAATTATTCAGCATCATGTATGCACCTATAGTCCCAGCTACTCAGGAGGCTGAGGCAGGAGGATCACTTGAGCCCAGGAGTTTGAGGTTGCAGTGAGCTATGATCACACCACTGCGCTCTAGCAAGTGTTACCAAGATTTTGTCGCAAAAAAAAAGCCAAGACTGGTGGTATATGCCTGCATTCCTAGCTACTCAGAAGACTGGGGCAAGAGGATTGTCTGAGCCTAGGAATTTAAGGTTATAGTGAACTATGATCACTGCACTCCAGCCTGGGCAACAGAGCTAGACCTTGTCTCAAAAGTCACTTTTTGGCCAGGCGCAGTGGCTCATGCCTATAATCCTAGCACTCTGGGAGGCCAAGGTAGGTGGATCGCTCAAGGTCAGGAGTTCGAAACCAACCTGAACAAGAACGAGACCCTGTCTCTACTAAAAATAGAAAGAAATTAACATGCCTGTAGTCCCAGCTACTAGGGAGGCTGAGGCAGAAGGACTGCTTGAGCCCAGGAGTTTGAGGTTGTTATGAGGTAGGCTGACGCCACGGCACTCTACCCCGGGGAACAGAGTAAGACTCTGTCTCAAAAAAAAAAAAAAGTCACTTTTTAATGATATTATAAAAATAATCAATAAATCTGAGTTAATACATAACTCTACTCAAATTTTTTTAAAAAATCATATTATAGGGCAGCAAAATAATGTCTGCAGTTTGACTTTCAACAAATTGTTTTGTATGGTAGAACTACCTAATCACAACTAAACTTAACTACAGTATTTTTTCTTTAGGAGAAAAAATTAGTCTTGAAATTAAAAATACCTGTACTTCCTGAAGATCTTTCAGCCAGATGTCACCCAAATATTCTATGTCATATGATTTCCATCTAAAATGAAAAGAGAGAATTATATTTTTAAAACTGGTAACCTGCTTTTGCAAATCTATGTTTTAAAAAGCTAAGAAATTTAAAAAGAAAAGAGACCAGAGTAATTATTAAAAGAAGGTATTCAAAGTAAATAGCAATAATTTAATCCGGAGTACTAATGATGGAAACGGATGCCAAATTTCCCTCCCCCAGTATGAAATCCCACCTCCTTACTCCAATGCTCCTTTCAGATTCCCTATATTAATTACCTACCACAATTTCAATCCTAAATGTTATATAGAGGTTGACAAAGCAGTTGTAACCAACTTAAAACTGAACTTTTACTATAAGTCACATCTAACACAGAATATTGCTAATATTTCAGATCTGACTTTACTCATGAAAAAGTTATTTTCAAATAAAAATGTCCCCCAAAGCATGCAGACCAGGCAGTATTAACATCCATCTCTCACCTCTTTTCTGACATACTCCAGGGCCATCTGGCTTTCCCAAAGAAACAGATCCCACTATCCAAGACTAATAAGTACTACCTGCTTACTCAATTAGAAATTTTATTGTCTACTTTAGGATTTCTTGGACAACCAGAGCTTATAATTTCCAAAGAAATACTTCAAACACAGACAGGCAAATAGAAATTAAATGAGAAACAAAGTCCGAACAATGACTGTGGAAGACTATTTACAAAATAATGAAAGAATAATTGATTTGTTTTAAACCTTTCTCTTTCATCTGTATTTTTACATAAGATACTGCTTATTGGGCAAATAGAATCTATGAATATTGCTCTCATTTACAAAAAATCACTACGAATAATCTCTCTAATTTCAGGTCAGACTCATTCTTATTTAATTCACAACCCTATAAAGTGGGGCTGTTACCGCCTTATAACAATGAAGAAACTACAATTCATAAAGGTTAAGTAACTTGCCCAGGATCATACAACTGGCAACCGCTGGAACTTGGCATCAGCCTTGCACTGGACTCATGGTCTATACCCATAATCATCCAACACCTTCCCAGAGAGTCTGATACTGTCAACAAAACTACCAAAAGACCCTCCAAATTTACACCAACAAAAGGGCATGCTTTCCAAATTCTTTGATTTCTCCTCAGGATCTGGGCTTAGAAGTTAGCCATAGGATTTTCACCAACCAAATATTCAAGAAGTATGGAAACTCCAGCCCCCCCCCAAAAAAAGAGAACTTCATTTCATTCATACTAACTGTTCTAGGACCAGATTTAAATAAAAACTTAAATTTTAATCTTTTCAAAGTTAAATATCTATATTCTTCTTGAAAAAGTACCGATCTCATTCAAAAGAGCCAGTATGCTACTTCCTTAATAACAGAATTGCCCACGCCTGTAATTCTAGCACTCTGGGAGGCTAAGGCGGGTGGATTGTTTGAGCTCAGGAGTTCAAATCCAGCCTGAGCAAGAGTGAGACACCATCTCTACTAAAAATAGAAAGAAATTAGCTGAACAACTAAAAATATATAGAAAACATTAGCCGGGCATGGTGGCACATGCCTGCAGTCCCAGCTACTTAGGAGGCTGAGGAAAGAGGATCGCTTGAGCCCAGGAGTTGGAGGTTGCTGTGAGCTAGGCTGACGCCACGAGACACTCTAGCCCGGCTGACAAAGTGAGACTCTGCCTAAAAAGAAAACAGAATTGATGGCAACACTTTGATTTCCTCTGAGACATTAAATATTATCTCTAAATCCCGGACCGAAATGGAGTAACAGAAATTATTTTTCCCCACAGCCAAAGTCACGTGTTCAAAAGACCTGACACCCAATCCTGGGCTTGCTCACCAGGCCTGACCACACAAGGAACACATATTTTGGAGAGTTTGACTAAATTCACTCCAGATATGATATTTAGCAGTGAATGGTTATTTACTAACTACATCTCCAAAGAACACTACCTGGCACAAAAATATGGATCAGCAACTTAGTTTCAAAATCCTACAATCTACATTTGTCTTGTTTAATACGGTAACCACTAAACACATGCGGTTATTTAAATTTAATTAAGCTTAAAAATAAAGTGAAACTTAAAATTTGGTTCCTCAATAGGAGTAGCCACATGTCAAATGGTTAATGGCCACATGTGATACCATAATGAACAGCAAAGGTACAGAACATGTCGCTATGACAGAAAGTTCTACGGGACAGAGTAACAATACTACAGCAAAGTTATCCAAGAACAAGGTTGCCTGTCCATTGCGTCGGTCGAGGCGGCAGCGCAGTGCCTTGGGCCGCATGTCCCTTCAAAGCGCCGCGGTCGCTGGGATACCCGCGCGGACGTGAAGTCCACGAGCTGAAGACACCCTTCACAGGCGGGCGTTAACAAATCGCGCGGGTGGCGCTGCGAGAGCCTCAAAAATGACTCGAGTGGGGATCCCAGAAGCGCCGCGTTTCCCCGGCGCGCCGGGCGGGGAGGGCCCAGATGTTCGGCGCCGGTCAGTCAGAGGCGCTGGCCTCCGACCTCTCTTCAAGCTGAGAAGACAGTGGCAGAAAAGGCAGAGACACACCGGGCGCCCGCCTGCCCGGGCTGTAGCCTCCGGCCGCCTCTCCGCCAACGGTGGGGAACACTAGGCCGTGTACGGGCGGCGGGGAGCGCCCGGCCTCGAAGGCGACGCGAAGGCGGAGCCCCAGCCCGGCCGGGGAAGCGCGCGGGGAGGCCCCCCCACTGGCCCGCCAGGGTAAACAAGGCCGCGACTCGCGCGACACACTTACCGGGAGTCGCGGCCCAGCGGCCGCTGAGCCCGGGCGGGCCAGAGTAGGTCAAGCCGGGCCAGAGGGGTCAGATTGGAACGCGGCGGAGGCGGCGGGCGACGCCGGTGGAGCCCGCGCTGCTTCCTCCGGCGGAGTAGTCCCCGCACCTCCGGAAGTGTTTGGCTCAGTGGCGTCACTTCCGCCCCGGGGTCGACCCGCGGTCGTCCGGTTGGAACAGGCTACTGGTTACAATGCCCAGTTGGCACCGCCTCTTTGCAATCTGACGCTGAGAGCATGAGTCTAACCCGAGTACCGCCGCTTCCGAAGGCAGCGGAAAGGGTGGTCTAGGGGGTCGACTTGTGAAGGGGTGGTCAAGGCATCTTCTCCCGAATCCGCCTATCAGCGTCACCCGCGAGGTTTTTCTGTTTTGTTTTGTTTGTTTTAAGAGACCATATCTCACTGTGTTGCCCAGGCTGGAGTGCAGTGGGTATTCACAGTCACGATCATTTCGCAATACAGTCTCAGACTCCTGGGCTCAAGCCATCCGCCTGCGTCGCCTCCCGAGTAGCTAGGACTACAGGCGCTTCCGCCTGGGCGCCCCAGTGGCCCTGATATTTTTAACCATCGCATTTCTTACCCTTTTCTCTATTCACTGTTTGTACTCCAACGCCTGCTTGGAGAAGACATCCTGGCGTAGTCGGTGGAGTGGCTAAAGGACCATTATTTCCCAGTTCCGATCTGGTCTGAGGGGAGCTGGGGCGGAAATTTCTGCCTACGCTCCGAGGCGGTCGCTGGGTGCCCCCCCGGAGCTGCCACTATACCAGGCTTTCGCTTCCTGCTGCTGCCTCTTTCACTGACTGCCCAGTTCTCCAGTTTACACTCAAGATCGCATCGTTCTCGGCTGGGCGCAGTGGCTCACGCCTGTAATCCTAGCACTCTTGGGAGGCCGAGGTGGAGAATCCCTTGAGGTCAGGAGTTCGAGACCAGCCTGAGCGAGAGTGAGACCCACCCCCCTTCTCTACTAAAAATAGAAAAAATGACCCAGGCGTAGTGGCGCATGCCTGTAGTCTCAAGCTACTCGTGAGGCTGAAGTGGGAGGATCACTTGAGCCCAGGAGTTTGAAGTTGCTATGAACTGGGCTGATCCCATGGCACCCTATCCTGAGCAACAGTGCGAGACTGTCTCAAAAATAATAATAGTAATAATAAGCTTGCATCATTCTATTTTGTTTTGTTTTGGGGGGACAGAGTCTCGCTCTATTGCCCAGTCTAGAGAGTCTGCCATGGCGTCAGCCTAGCTCACAGCAACCTCAAAGTCCTTGGCTCAAGCGATCCTCCCGCCTCAGCCTCCTTAGTAGCTGAGACTACAGGCTTGAGCCACCATGCCAGGCCAAGCTTGCATCTTAACTTTCTTGCTGCAGTTTCTTTTTTACAACATAAGAATTGTCATCATGACTTCCAGTTACCTTCTAGGACCAATTGTCAAGTATTGTGAATAGAGTTCCTATAGGTTGCTGCCACCGCAGTGGAAACACCAGTGTGAAGTCAGTTACCGTAAGGGAGCCTCCAGGACTGTGCAAGTCTATAGATTACAAACCAAATCGTGGCTGGGCACGGTGGCTCACGCCTGTAATCCTAGCACTCTGTGAGGCCGAGGCGGCGGATTGCTCGAGGTCAGGAGTTCGAAACCAGCCTGAGCAAGAGCGAGACCTGTCTGTCTCTACTATAAATAGAAAGAAATTAATTGGCCAACTAATATATATAGAAAATTAAGCCCGCATGTGGCACATGCCTGTATTCCCAGCTACTCAGGAGGCTAAGGCAGGAGGATTGCTTGAGCCCATGAGTTTGAGGTTGCTGTGAGCTAGGCTGACACCACGGCACTCACTCTAGCCTGGGCAACAGAGCGAGACTCTGTCTCAAAAAACAAAAACAAACAAACAAAAAACACCAAACCAAATCGTTTCAGCGCAGACTCAAGTTGTATATATACTGACATTTATGATACCTATCCATGGCCAGGGGCGGTGAGTCACGCCTGTAATCCTAGCTTTCTGGGAGGCCCAGGCAGGAGGATTGCTTGAGCTGAGGAGTTGGAGATTAGCCTGAGCATGAGACCCCATCACTACCAAAAAGAAAGGGGTGGGGGACCTGGCCAGGTGTTGTGGTGTGCACCTGTAATCCCAGCTATCCGGTCCCGAGGCTGAGGCACAAGGATCCCTTAGAGCTCAGGATTTTGAGGTTACGGTGAGCTGCAATGACCCCCCCCCAACTCTACCCAGAGCCACAGAGTGACACTGCTTCAACAAAAGCAAACAAGGCAACTGAGCACCCCTCTTCACAACTCCCTACCGCCTTAAAAAAAAGATACCTAGCATAATGGGCTCTCTTTTGTTCTTGCAAGAAATAGATGATTTTCAGCTTTCAATTTAACTCAGATCATGTATTTAAATCAGGTGCAACCAATGCTTAAAAAAAATTAATTTGAAGTGAAAATTAACAGTATTGAGTGAATAACATATTGTAGGGTTATGAATATTGTATATTAGCTATGTAAAAGTCTATTAATACTATAATCCAGTGTACTTGTTTCATTTCTTTTTTTTTTTTTGAGACAGAGTCTCACTCTGTTGCCTGAGCTAGAGTGCTGTGGCTTCAGCCTAGCTCACAGCAACCTCAAACTCCTGGGCTCGGGCAATCCTGCCTCAGCCTCCCAAGTATCTGGGACTACAGCATGCACCACCATGCCCAGCTAATTTTTTCTACATATTTTAAGTTGTCCAGCTAATTTCTTTTGATTTTTTGGTAGAGACAGGGTCTCACTCTTGCTCAGGCTGATCTCCATATCCTGAGCTCAAACGATCCGCACTCCCAGAGTGCTAGGATTACAGGCTGTTTCATTTCTTTTGACAGACCATATACCTTCAAATTATGATGATATTAGCAAAGGACCCAAAATATATTTTATGCAAATGAAATCATCTCAATTAGAAGTTTCTCACTTTGGGTTACTGGTAACAAATCCACTCCGGTGAATAGAATGGAAACATTCAGTCTTTTTATAGAATTCTTGCATTTGTAAAATACAGAATCACACATCAAGCACATGAATGCATGTACAGTTTATTGAAATCCTATGTATTATCCTTTTCTTTGTTCACTTGTCTGTCTTTTCTCCACTAAAGTTGGGTTTTTTAAGGGCACAGATCCACCTTGTTTTCAGTATTACACTTAAATATTTGGGCTGATGATAACAGTATTATTTTTAGCTACTGGCAATTTCTCCCTAGGAAATAAATATTTAAGTATTGGTTGGGCGCGGTGGCTCATGCCTGTAATCCTAGCACTTTGGGAGGCCTAGGCAGGTGGATTGCTCGAGGTCAGGAGTTCAAAACCAGCCTGAGCAAGAGTGAGACCCCGTCTCTACTATAAATAGGAATAAATTAATTGGCCAACTAATATATATAGAAAAAATTAGCCGGGCATGGTGGCGCATGCCTGTAGTCCCAGCTACTCAGGAGGCTGAGGCAGAAGGATTGCTTGAGCCCAGGAGTTTGAGGTTGCTGTGAGCTAGGCTGATGCCATGGCACTCACTCTAGCCTGGGCAACAAAGCGAGACTCTGTCTCAAAAAAAAAAAAAAAGTATTAATCTGGCTGGGTGTGGTGGCTCATGCCTGTAATTAGCACTTTGGAAGGCCGAGGCAGGAGGATGGTCTGAGCAAGAGTGAGACTCTGTCTCTACAAAAAATAGAAAAACTAGCTGGGTATGGTGGCATGCCCTGTAGTCCCAGCTACTTGGGAAGGTGAGGCAGGAGGATGGCTTGAGCCCAGGAGTTTGAGGTTGCAGTGAGATATGATGATGCTACCGCACTCTAGCTGGGGCAACAGAGGAAGATTCTGTCTCTAAATTAATCAATTAATTAAATAAGACAAAAAATTAAGACTATGCATAAAAATATGTGCACATATATGTGCTTTAGAACACTGGTTCTAATAGGAAAAAGTTTGCAGCATCCCAAATGTCCAAAAGTAAGGGCTCTGTTAAATTATGATAAAACATACAATGAAGGAAACCATTAAAAATCAGGCTGAACTAGGCATCTATTGACAAGGGAAAGGTATTTGTGATATAGTCAAGTGATAAGAATAGGATATGGGCTGGGTACAGTTGCTAACAGCTATAATACTAGGACTTTGGAAGGCCAAGCCAGGAGGATCATCTGAGGCCGGGAGTTTGAGACCAACCTGGGCAACATAGCAAGACCCGATCTCTATATAAAAAAAAATAGGAAAAAAAGTAGGTGTGCATGGTATCACACACCTGTAGTCAGTCTCAGCTACTCAGGAGACTGAGGCAGGAAGATCACTTGAGCATGAGAGTTTGAGGTTGCAGTGAGCTATGATGATTCCACTGCACTGTAGCCCAGGTGAAAGAGCAAGACTCTATCTTGCAAAAAAAAAAAAAAAAAGGAAAAAGAAAGAATATGAAACCATATATGTACATTTCATTTTCAAAATACAAAAGCATAAAATATAAATAAATATAAAATCTCTCATGGTTTCTTTGCTACAGGAATCCAGACAGGTCACAGTAGGAATGGTTTATTTCAGCTCTACAATGTCTGGGACCTAGCTAGAGTACTCAAAGCCTGGGGACTGGAATCATAGTAAAGGGTATTTACTCACATGTGTGATAGTTGATGGTAGCTGGGGGCCTAGCAGGGGCTGTTTGCCAGAACACAAGCATAACCCCTCCATGTGCCCTGTACTTCCTGGTAACACTGTGGCTGGGTTCCAAGGGAAAATGTCTTATGAGGGAGACGGCCAGTTAGAAGCCATATTTCCCTTTATGACCTAGCCTTCAAAGTCACACAATATTACTGCTACCACATTTTACTGATTGAAGCAGTTATAAAGGTCCCCTGAGGTTCAAGGGGAAGGATTGCAACTCCATACTCAATGGAGTTGTTTCTTACAACATCTCATTGTAAGAAAAGCATGTGACATGAGATATATGTTGGCATGGCCATCTTTGGAAAATGTCTGTCATATAGCACATATTACATACATCTATATGTATCTTACCTTATTCATATTTGCCTTTGTCAATTTTAATTACAAAACTAATATACTGATAACATAAAACTTATAAAAAATTAATACACCTTGGGAGGCTGAGGCAGGAGAATCACTTGAGCCTAGGAGTTCAAGACCAGCCTGAGCAACATAGTGAGCCCTTATCTCTACAAAAAATAAAATAATTAGCTGGGCATGTAGTCCCAGCTTCTTGGAAGACTGAGGCAGGAGTATCACTTGAGCCAAGGAGTCTGAGGTTGCAGTGAGCTAAGATGATGGTACTGCACTCTAGCTGGCAACAGAATGAAACCCTGACTCAAAAAATTAAAATTAAAAAAAAATTAAAACTACTGATAGCAGCCTGTGAATATTCCCATTAACTCCCTGCAATTCTCTTTTCTCCTATCTAGGGTTGTTGCTGACGTCCAGAGTTTGGGACACATCCTTCCAGGACCCTTTCTATGCATCCATATGCAGTACATACCTATATTTACAGCTATGCACTCACACATTTACAAAAATCTTTTTTCATTAATAATATTGGTTGGGGCCAGGCGCGGTGGCTCACACCTATAATCCTAACTCTCTGGGAGGCCGAGGTGGGCGGATTGCTCGAGGTCAGGAGTTCGAAACTAGCCTGAGCAAGAGGGAGACCCTCGTCTCTACTATATATAGAAAGAAATTAATTGGCCAACTAATATATATACAGGAAAAATTAATAATAAAATTAGCCAGGCATGGTGGCCCATGCCTGTAGTCCCAGCTACTCGGGAGGCTGAGGCAGAGGATTGCTTGAGCCCAGGAGTTTGAGGTTGCTGTGAGCTAGGCTGACGCCATGGCACTCACTCTAGCCTGGGCAACAAAGCGAGACTCTGTCTCAAAAAAATAAATAAATAAATAAAAATAATGAGTGCAATGAGCATCATCTGGGGGATGGACACGCTTGAACCTGCTCGGGGAAAGGGGGAGAAAGGCAACACATACAACCTAAACATTTGTACCCCCATAATATGCTGAAATAAAAAAAACCAAAATTATATTTAGAATAGGTTTTTACTAATGAAAATAAGGTTTAAGATTTTGTGTGTGTGTGTGTGTGTGTGTGTGTGTGTGTAGCTGTAGATATAGATATGAATGTTGATGCATTGAAAGGGTCCTGAAGAGACATGTATAAAATGCTAATATTTTATATTCTTATCTTTTAGGTTGGGCTCTTTATTTATTTATTTATTTATTTTATTTTTTTTTTTTGAGAAGAGTCTCCTTGTTGCCCCAGGCTAGAGTGAGTGCATGGCGGTCAGCTGGTCACACAACCTCAATCTCCCGGCTCAGCGATCCTACTGCCTCAGCTCCCGAGTAGCTGGGATACAGCATGCGCACCTGCCCGGCTAATTTTTGTATATACTATTTTAGTGGTCATTAT